TCCTCTCGGCTCTTACTCTTTCGACGTCCGACTTATTTGCTTAGCGTTTTCAGACTTCAAATCTTCGCGCCGATCAAGTGCGCATTCGCATTGTGTCTTCGCGCATCTCCGATTCCAATGGTGATTCCTCTTCAATTTTGTTCAAGTACGATTGTGGAATTCTGAATTACCGTGGCGAATTTCTCGTCCTTACTTCTCAATTTCGAGCAGAGCAGGTACATCTGTGTAGCAGAATAGGTTTCAGCAGCACAGCAGAACAGGTTTCAACGGCGCAGCAGAACAGGTTTAGCGGCGCAGTAGAACAGGTCAGCGACGCAGTAGAACAGGTCAGCGGCGCAGCAGAACAGGTCAGCGGGGTAGCAGAACAGGTCAGAGGCACAGCAGAGAAGCGGAAAAGGGGCAGCAGCGAAGCGGAAAAGGGGGCAATGGCGAAGCCGAGCAGCAGAATAGATTCTGGGCTTTTATTGCCGTCATTGCATCTTTCCGTGTTTCTGGCTTCCTCAATTTAAAAAATCGCCGTGCTTCGCTTCGCTACGTATCGGAGACATTGGCATTGCGCTAAGCACAATGGCAACTTCATCTTCAACTCTAGTCGGAAATCACATCGTCCTTTACCTCGCTCCCAATGGCATGAGCACCAACTTCGGGGACTGGTGCTATGGAGTGGAGAAGCACATCCTTAGGACGGAGCTGAAGGGGATATGCCTCAAGGACATCCTCCTCAACCGCAGCAAAGGAAAAATGCCTCTCCCTCCCAATCCTCTGGTAAAGGAGCCACTACCGTGGACAAGTATGAGACCGACTTCAGTGTTTGGGAGTAGGCGGATGCTGCAGTGATTAGGGTATTCATCACCACCACCACGGTTGAGTTTGTCAAGTCCTACCGCACCTTTCGCTCCGCTCATGACATATGGAAGCACCTCCAGGATCGTATCCATGACAAGACTGCAGTGGGCGTTGTCATCCTTATTCATCGAATGTTTCAAGTCCGCCTTGAAGAATGTCCAGGCATGACAGACTACATTTATGAAATCAGGAACATCCACGAACAACTTAAACACATCAGAATCACCTTCCCCGAACAGGCACCAGCATCTGGGCTATTCGTAGGTCTTACCCCGGCCTACACTGGCACTTTCCCGCTTGGGACCCAGTGGAGCCTGAGGTGACCAGTCTACGATTCCCGCCAGGCGCCCTGTGAGTGGCACAACACGCTGCACACCACTCTTGCTGCCCTCGTCCTAGTCTACGTCAATGACTTGGTCTTCGCTACAGCAGTCACGGCCGCTCTGGCTGTACTGATGTCTGAACTGCAGAAGAGACACACATTCACTGACCTTGGTGAGATGCGTTGGCTTGCAGATCACCAGGGACAAAGCCGCTTGCACCATCACACTCTCACGGTCAAGCATGGTGCAGCAGGTCCTCTAGCGGTTCGGGCTTCAGTTCTCCACCACACAGCCCACTCCTATTGTCGTTTAACACAGATTCACTGGCCCTTTTCCCGGCGAGCCCTTTGAGTCCAGTGGTCCCTACGCAGAGCTTTTGGGCTGCCTCAGGTACATGATGACCTATACTCGTCCGGACCTCTCCTTTCCCTTCAGCGTCTTCTCTCGCTTTATTGTGACTTGGAGACACCGTCTTGTTCACTGGCAATGTCTATGAGGGTGGCAGAGTACCTGGCGACTATATCAGGCATGGGGCTTGTCCTTGGAGGGACACAGTCAGTTGTGCTGACCGGTCACTGTGACTCTTCCTACTTCGACGAAGTGAGCGGTCTAGCCAGGGGTACTGCTTCAACTTGGGTGCTGGAGCTGTGATTTGGAGGTTTACACGGTCGCCGTCTGTGCATTCGTCTAGTGGAGATGCTGAGATCTACGTCGGCGCCATGGCTGCGCAGGAGCTTCGTTGGTTGACCTTCTTGCTCACTGACCTTGGTGAGCAGCCTCCATCTGCACCAACCTTGTTCGCTGAGAACGAGGCCATGATCCTCTGGTGTCGAGAGGCTCTACTGGAGAGCAGAGTGAAGCATATTGATGTGAGGTACTTTCTCTTGCAAGAGTTGCAGCGGTGCGTCCAGGCACGTTTGGACTTCGTGGCCTATGCGGCCAACACCTCAAATATCTTCACCAAGGCACTGGTGCTTGATGACAACCACATGTTCTGTCTGTAGCTTTGCCTCTTGCTTCTTGTCCTGTTTGTACTTGTGTCACTAAATATATTTGTGAACGCTTTAACTGGCCTTGTGGCCACTTGCTTGTGCTCAGACCGTGTGGTGACTCTGTGATCCACCCTGAGCTTTGTGTTGTTGCTTCTCTTGATTGGTATTGTGACCATTTGTGTTTCTTGTACTCTCTTGATATCCCTCACTTAGCCTATGGGGGTGTGTCAATCTATATATTGTTATTAGGCTATAGTGAGGTTAGCCATACAAAGTAAAACACTTTAGGGTTAGCATTTGTACTCACCCACTTCCTAATCTTTCTCACTCTGCTACTGTAAGATGGGCCCTACACCTCGGGCATTTTCCCAACCTCGACGACATGCCCTTAGCACACCCTAGCTTTGGCCTCTACCTTTACGAATAGTTTCGCTACATTTCCTTCGCTCTCTCATGTATTCGCACATGTTGTTCAATTGCTTCTATAGTGCACTCTTTGTTCGCATAATAAATTGCACTCATAACTCTTTCATTTGTATAGACATCTTGTAATAAGAAAATACCGTAGTAAGGAGAATTTCTTTTCCTTATCGGGGTTAACTGCTATGCGTACAACCCCGACATTTCGAACTTCGCACGTTCGGCCGACATCCACGATTCTGAGGCTGCCTCGCCAAACCTGCACCCAACCTCGCATTCCCAAGGTTCCCACTTAGCTAGGCTAGCCACTACATTATCACCTTGCCTTCATTGTATTGTCAGTTCATTGAATCACATCCTCTTTATTTGTTATCCCGCGCAACTCTGTTTCACAACTCATAACACATGATATCAGAGCTACTTTCCTAGTTCACCCCTCTTTTTGGGGGTAGTTTGGTGGCACGGGTTGGCTGGTACACTGGACTGCACGACGGTTGGCTGCAAGGTTTGTTAACTTAAACATGCCCGACTCCAATAGTTTGTGCTTTTCACTAGCCTAAGGCCACAGATACCCTCTTGCCCACCAAACAGAGTGCTAGACTCATGGATAGGGAAGCGGTCAAGAAGTTAGTGATGCAAGTGGCAGAAATGCAAGTGTGCATGAAGTCATTATTGGCGGAAGTGACAACCCCACGTGGAGAAAACGCCGAGCTACACCGGACGCGAGGTGAAGCGCGTCAGGAGTCGCCCAATGAATAAGGCGAGGGCAATACTCAAGCAGTGAGCAACCCGTTGGACGCGCTCACATGTGACTTCGAAGAAGATATGCAGCGAGCGGCAGCGACGCCAATTGCAGTAACGATGAACAATATTAAACCTGCGAGCTCGCCTCCGTTCAATCCTACGGACAAGAACACTATAGTGAAGGGGTGGCTCTTCGGTGTTTAAGTCTACTTCACTGCAGCGAACATCAACGACGATGCCATGCATATAAATTATGCGATTTTGGCCCAGCGCTTGAGTGGTGGCGCCGAACCTTGGATACAGGGAACCCCAAAGGTGTGACACATGTGGCAGACGGGACCTCAACTTTGGCTAATCAAGTGGCAACTTCAATCTTCGGTGGACCACGATTCGCACGTGGAAGGAGTTGGGCACAATCTTACGAGATCGCATAGAGCACGTATCCGCCTCGGAGCAAGCTCGCATGAAGCTGCGTGCCTGGTCGCAGTTGGCTTCTATTCATGACTACACGTCGTCATTTATGGCACTCGCCGACCAAGTGGACGACATGGCGGAGCCGGAGCGGTTGGATAAATACATCAGCAGCCTTAAGTACGAGGTACAATACGAGGTGCGCCGATGTCGCCCGACTTCGTTCCTGGAAGCTGTACAGCTGGCGGAGTCTACAGATGCGCTAGTGCAGTGGGTGAGGGCAGGTTCCCGAGAGGGAAACCGTTTTCGCGGCCAGACCCAACAGGCCACAATCAACAGAGTCCATGCACATGACCGCCCCTTCATAGTGCTGTGTTATAAGTGTGGGAAGCCGGGTCACTAGATGAGAGACTGCCCCGAGAAAACGCCGGCGAAGAGGAACGACGGGAAGGAGCAGGGAAATGGAAAGAGTCAGTAATTGACGGGCCCCATACTGACTGTGCTCCGTCGCTCGTACACCACATCCCCACCGAGTCGTGGTTCCGATTCATGCCATCGATTGCACTCGGCCGAATAACGGGGATAAACATGTGGATCACTCTATGCTGGTCGTTGGCACGGTGTTAAAACATAACCTGAAAATGTATGTCGATGGCGGGGCTTGCGGAGAATGCTATTCTAGGGGAGAGATTACTAGCGTGAGGCTCACGGGTAGAGTTCTAACAGTGATTCTTAGGAGTGAGCTCAGTTGCATTGGTAGAATTCAAGCATAGTTTCACTAGGAAAGGTGGATTGAACAAGATTATGGTACAAGAAAGTAGAACAAAATAGCAAAGACAATGAACCCTGGAAGAACGTTCCCCGACAAGAACTCACCTTTGTCGAGTCAGCAACAGCAGGACAAGCGACAAGCACATGCATAGTTCACCTGAGTTGGCAGTTATTCAGGTTTACAATGTTCACACTTGTATACGATTTTACTGTTAGTAAAAACGTGTTTCAGGTTCAATTTCCTTCCTGGTTCGAATTCTCCTGGGGAGTACAATTTTCGAGAGCATATGATTGGTCGAAATTTGTTGTTTCGCAAATGTTCAAAATTCGCGCTCTTGCAATTTCAGAGACAAGTAGTTCTGATCAACTGGAATCGCTCTGCTCGACGAAGCATTCGTAAAGCACAATTCTGTCGAACAGAAATCCGTCGAAACACCAATTCTGCCAATTCCGTCTACCAGAAAGGCTCATCTTCGACGTCGATTTACCCAGGTCAGTGCAGGTGTGTCTCTTCTGCAGCTCCGACTTCACAAGGGCCAGTGCCTCGGTGTCAGCAATGGCAAAGACGGGGTCGTCGACATACATGAGGACGTAGAACGGCGGCAGCGATGTGTCAGTGCGTAGAAACAGCGATGGGTCAGCGGTAGAAGGAGCAAACCCAAGAGCCGCAAGTGTAGTCCTCAGTTTGTCGTGCCACTTGCGAGGCACCTGGTGGAGACCGTAGAGTGGCCGGCGGAGGCTCCACTGAGTACCTGCAGAAAAAGACTCTGTGAAGTCAGGTGGGCCGCGCAGCCAGATCTCCTCGTGCAGGCTGCCCTGCAGGAAAGCTGTGCTGAAGTCCAGAGAGTGCAACTCGTAGTCACGATGAGCAGCGATGTGCAGCAACACCCGAAGAGTAGTCATCTTTGGGGTGGGGGAGAAGGTCTGGAAGTTGTCAACTCCCTGTCGCTGACTGAAGCCTCGAGCAACGTAATGCGCCTTGAAGGTAGGCGGAGAACCCGGCGGCCGCTTCACCCTGAAAATCCACATGCCATCGACTATGTTCGCCCTAGACGGGGGAACTGCGTTGACGTAGGTGCCTGTGGACTTCCAGGATGCCATCTCGGCATCCATAGCTGCCTGCCACTGAGAGGAGTAAGGACCCGTAATCGCCTCTGCGTAAAAGCGCGGGGTCGGGATGTCTGGAGCATCTGGGTCTCCCTCAGGGGCAAGCAGCATGGAAGCGAAACGAGGTACAGCAGCTGCAAGACACTCAAAGTCCTCCTGCGTATCCTCAAGGACGTCCGTGCCAAGAGCACACTCACCCCCGACGGACGGAGGACAGGCAGGCACTGACTCAACAACTTGAGCAGAGGCGTAGTCGAGACGGCAGGCAGCAGCAAAGTCAAGCAGCTCAGCAACGAGAGCAGACGCAGCAGTGGGACTGGCAGCACGCGCGCGGTCAGACGCAAGGTCAGGGACCTCAGGAAGAGAGGACTCAGGAGGAGCAGGCAGAGAAACACGCAGTGGAACAGAGGAAGGACGGAGTGCCATAGTGTGCGTGCCAGGGACAGGAGGAGGACGCGAACGAGGAGCGTGACAAGCAGTGCGAACAGGCGAGACAGGACGAGACGCAGGCTCACGACGCTCTGTAAGACCTCCGGACTGCTCAGTGTAAGGAGAGGGACCAAGCAGTGGAAAGGCTGGCTGTAATGGCGGCTGCGACTGGTCAGGCAATGGACATAGGAAGGGAGGAGGAAGACTAGCAGAAGACGGGACACTAAGAACCTGCTGAAGGAGGGGGACGAAATACGGTCGCGGCCGCACAGTGTCTCCAGCACCTCCAGCTCCAGGGTCAATAGCTCTAGCTCCTGCAGCCCCAGTGCCTCCGGCGCCTGTGCCTCCAACTCCAGCTCCTGCAGCTCCAGCGCCTCCTGCGCAAGGGCCTCCAACTCCAGCTACTCCAGCTCTAGCGCCTCCTGCGCCAGCTGCTCCAGGCTCCGTAGGGTCTCCAGCTCCAGCGTACCCAACACCACCAGTCCCGGCAGCTCCAGCACCACTGGTACGAGCACCTCTAGAACCAGTAGCCGCAGTACCTCCAGCACCTCCAGCTCTAGTGCCTCCAGCCCCTCCAGCTCCGGGAGCTCCACTCTGACGGTGCGCGTGCCGAACAAGCCACTCACGCAGCTGCTGCGAGGAGTGTCGCGGCGAAGCACCAGCAGGACCTCCAGACAAAGCAGCACCCCGAGGCTCAGCACCCCTAGACTCCGCACCCTCCGACTCAGCACCCCCAAGCTCAACACCCTCAGACTCAGCACCCCCAGACCCAGCACCCTCAGACCCCGCACCCCCTGGCTCCGCACCCCCAGACGCAGCACCCCCAGACGCAGCACCCCCAAACGCAGCACCTGGAGCAGCACCTGAGCCGACAGCTACCTAAACAGGCGCAATACCAGGGAGAGGGTCTACCTGAGACACACCCGAGGGAGCAGGACCCTGGGGCGGGAGGGGGTCTACCGGAGGTGGACCGGGAGCAAGGAAGAGCGGCGGGGGCGGGGGAGGGGCTGAGCGGAAAGGGAAGAGACTGTAGAAGGGAACCGACTCGTTGAATGTGACGTCCTTAGACGGGAGGACACGGCGCGAGGTGGGGTGGTAAAACTGCCAGCCAGGCGCGTCAGGGACAAAGCTAAGGAAGACACAGGGAATGGCGCGGGCGGAGAGCTTGTCCACGGACGTATCGCGAACGAAGGCACGAGAACCCCAGACCCGGAACACCGACGCATCGCCAACCTTCCCCGTCCAACGCAGTGTGGGCGAGGTCTCCGGGAAGGAGACACGGGGCCAGAGTTTGAGCTGATGCGCAGCGTACCGGACCGCAAACAGCCACCGAAAATGGGGAGCGGCCGCATGGATCATGGAGGTATGAGCGACCTCCATGATTAAGCCAATGCGGCGCTCAGCAATCCCATTTTGCTGAGGGGAGTCCGGAATCGTGAACGACTGGAGAATGCCCTCCCCACGACAAAAGTCCTGCAAGAGGTCGGAGGAGAACTCACCACCTCTGTCAGAGTGCAGACGCAAGACAGGGAGGTCCCGACCGAACCGCTCGCGGAGCTGGAGACGGACTGTGCGGATCCAAGGGATCAAGACATCAGAGACCTCACCCTTGCTGCGCAAGGGGAAGACCGTTGTGTACCGCGTATAGTCGTCAACTACCATCAGAAATTAGCGCTCGCGACCCTGTCCCCACACGTCCATGTGGAGGGTCTGCAGGGGAGCAGTCGTCGGGGGAAACGAGGAGGAGTGAGGAGCGGCGCGCTGCTGCCCCTCGACGCAAGGAAGACAGGGCGGGGCAGGCGAGGGCGGTAAGGGAGGCAGAGACCTGGGGAGACCAGAGACAAGGAGACAGGAGTGCATGCCACGAAGGCGTGGCAGGGAGGGGTGACCCAGGCAGTGGTGCCACAGAAGAGTCTGGTGCGACAGGAGGCGACACGAGCAAGAGGCGGCTACCTGACCTGACGCGGACACTTGTGCAGACGCAGCGACCTGAGGAGGCTCGGTAGCCAGCGTGTACAGACTCGACCTTGGCCGACGAGTGAACGTAGCCAGGTGACGCCCCGTCCGTGTGCACGTGCAGATCGACACACGCTGACCCCCAGGAGTGGTGGTAGTGACCATCGCATCCTGAAGGGCAGCGGTACTCACCAAGTTCATAGAGAACGAGGGGAGGTGAAGACCTGACAGTGAGCCGGACGGAACCGCCGAACACGGGAGGACAATGGAGGAACGGGCAACGACCGGGCCCCCAGAGGGGTCAGCCAGTCTGACCGGGACAGGTGCAGGGAGAGGAGTGAGAGTGGTGCTGTCACGAAAGAAACAGCGCGAGGCGCCGGAGTCCAACGTGAAGGTGTGAAAGGCCTCAGCTGGCGCAGTACCAGGGGGAGTACCAGACGCAGTAGCTGTCAAACTTATATCTATTATAGTCTGTTTAGGCTGTAGTGGGGTAGGGCTTAGAGGGTACAACACTTTTCTGTTTTCTACTTGTACCAATCTGCTTTCTAGTTCAATCATTCATTCCTATTATTCTCACATGGTATAGAGCGAGTTTTTCCTAAGGGCCCACCACTAAAACGATTTTTTTTTTTCCCTTACCTGCCCGACGCGCGCGTCGCGCCTGACCTTCGCGGCCCGTAGCGGCCCCTCCCTTTGCGCCCGTAGTGGCCCTTTCGTGGCCCGTAGCGCCCCCCCTTGCGGCCCGTGGCGACCCTTTTCGTGGCCCGTCGCGGCCCCTTCTAGGCCCGTCGCGGCCCCTTACGCGGCCCCGCATCGGCCCCTTCCGCGGCCCCTTACGCGGCCCCTTCTAGGCCCGTCGCGGCCCCCTTTCACAGCCCTTCGCGGCCCCGTCTAGGCCCGTCGCGGCCCCGTCTAGGCCCGTCGCGGCCCCTTTCACGGCCCGTCGCGGCCCCTTCTCGGCCCTTCGCGGCCCCTTCTAGGCCCGTCGTGGCCCCTTCTAGGCCCGTCGCGGCCCCTTCTAGGCCCGTCGCGGCCCCTTACGCGGCCCCGCATCGGCCCCGACCCTGTCCCGGCCCTGCAGCAGCTGCCGTCGCGGCCCTGCCCCGCCCTACAGCAGCCGCCGTCGCGGGCTGCCCCGCCCTGCAGCAGCTGCCGTCGCGGCCCTGCCCCGCGCTGCAGCAGCTGCCGTCGCGGCCCTGCCCCGCCCTACAACAGCCGCCGTCGCGGGCTGCCCCGCCCTGCAGCAGCTGCCGTCGCGGCCCTGCCCCGCCCTGCAGTAGCTGCCGTCGCGGCCCTGCCCCGCCCTGCAGCAGCTGCCGTTGCGGCCCTGCCCCGCGCTGCAGCAGCTGCCATCGCGGCCCTGTCCCCGCCCTGCTACAGCTGCCGTCGCGGCCCTGCCCCGCCCTGCAGCAGCTGCCGCGGAGATCCCTGCCGCGGTCGCGGCCCCTCCCTACCGCTGTAGCGACCCCGCCGTCGCTGCCGTCGTGCGCCTGCCCTTCCCACCACTGGTGAGCACTGTCCTGCCCGCGCTGCTACTGCTGTTACTGCTGCTACTACTGCTACTGTTGCTCCTGCTGCTACTGCTGCTCCTACTGCTATTGCTGCTCCTGCTGCTCCTGTGTTACTGCTGCTCCTGGCGTGGCCAGATGCAGCTCCAGGGCCGTCCTCGTGAGTCCCTCACGCCCCAGCAGCTTTGTGAGTGGTACGCTAGTTGGGGTTGTCGGGGTGGCCGTAGTGGGATTCGCCCTGGAGTGGGTAGTTCGGGAGCTTCTGGTAGTGGCCAGGTGCAGCTGCAGCGTCGTCCGCGCGAGGCTCTTTCGCCCCAGCAGCTTCGTGAGTGGTACGCGCAGAGTAGAGGGTCGCTGAGTCCTGCTCGCTGCCCGTACGTCATTCGCACGGGTGTCCGGGCTGGTCAGCCTTGCGGGACGGTTGGTCACACAGGATCCCGCTGCTTCGCCCGTCTGAGCGACGCCTGGAGTTCAGAGTTTGGCGACGACGCTAAGCTCCCCGACTGGGTGGAGCTGCTTAGGCAGAGGGTAGATATATTTGCTCTTGACTATGATGCTATCCTCACTGCCATGTATGTATTGTCTACTAGTGCTGAGGGTGCCTGTCACGTATGTCTGCCGCCTGACCCCGGTATCCAGTCTGCTGCTCTAGGTGCTGGTGAGGCTGCTGCTCTAGGTGCTTGTACGTCTCCTGCTCCACGTGCTGGTGAGGCTGCTGCTCTAGGCGCTGGTGAGTCTACTGCCCCAGGTACTGGTGAGTCTGCTCTCTCTGGTACTGCGCCTGCCGAGGTCTTGCACACTTTCACACTTGACTCTGGTGCTTCGCGCTCTGACAGCACCACGCTCACGCCGCTCAGTCGGCCTGTTGCGGTCTCCCTGGCTGACCCCTCAGGAGGCCCAGTCCTTGCACACTCCTCCACTGTCCTACCGTGTCCTGCGGCCCCGTCGGGCTTGCTGTCGGGACTCCACCTCCCCTCATTCTCTACGAACCTGGTGAGAGGAGCTGACCTCCAGGACGCGTGGGTTGACCAGTTCACCCCTGGAGGTCAGCGTGTGACCCACTGCACTTGCTCTCGGACGGGCCGCCACCTGGCCACGTTCACCCGTCGACCAGGGTCGAGTCTGTACACACTGACTACTGCGCCTCCTCCGGTCCCTGCGTCTGGTCAGGTAGCTGCGTCCAGTCAGGTGTTTGTTGCCGCGTCCAGGTCTAGTCCTGCGTCTGCCCCCTGCTCCTGTCGTCCTCTGGCACACGAGAATCTCCTTTGGCACCACCGCCTTGGTCACCCCTCCCTGCCTCGTCTTCGAGGTATGGCCTCCCGTGCCCTTGTCTCGGATCTACCCAGGTCCCTCCCTCCCCTTCCTCTGGGGCCTGCCGCCAACTGTGTTCCTTGTGTCGAGGGCCGGCAGCGCGCCGCCCCTCACTCCTCCTCGTTTCCTCCGACTGAGGCTCCTCTGCAGACTCTTCACATGGACATGTGGGGCCCAGCCCGCGTCCGTGGACAGGGTCACGAGCGCTACTTCCTCCTGGTCGTTGATGACTACTCGCGTTACACCACAATCTTCCCCTTGCGCAGCAAGGGTGAGGTTCCTGAGGTGTTGATCGACTGGATCCGCGGTGCTCGTCGCCGGCTCAGTGAGAGTTTCGGCTCACACCTTCCTGTTCTGCGTCTGCACTCGGACAGAGGCGGGGAGTTTTCCTCCGACCTCCTGAGGGCCTTCTGTCATTCGGAGGGCATCCGCCAGACGTTCACGCTTCCGGCCTCCCCGCAGCAAAATGGGATTGCTGAGCGCCGCATTGGCATGGTCATGGACGTCGCTCGTACGTCCATGATCCATGCGGCTGCTCCCCATTTTCTGTGGCCGTTCGCGGTTCAGTACGCAGCGCATCAGATCAACCTTTAGCCTCGTGTCTCCTTGCCGGAGACCACACCTACTCTGCAGTGGACGGGGAAGGTTGGCGATGCGTCCGCGTTCCGTGTCTGGGGATCTCGAGCTTTTGTCCGCGATACTACAGCAGACAAGCTGTCCTCCCGTGCCGTTCCCTGTGTCTTCCTTGGCTTCCCTCCTGACGCACCCGGGTGGCAGTTCTACCACCCCACCTCGCGTCGTGTTCTGTCCTCTCAGGACGTCACGTTCGACGAGTCGGTGTCGTACTACCGTCTCTTTCCCTACCGCACTGCCTCTCCCCCCCCCCCCCGCCACTCTTCCTGGCACCAGGTACTCCCCTGGTAGACCCCCTCCTCCCCCAGGGTCCTGCCCCCTCAGGTGTGTCCCAGGTAGACCCTGCCGAGCCGGTCGAGGTAGCTGTCGACTCAGGTGCTGCTAGGGGTGCTGAGACTGGGGGTGCTGAGTCTGGGGGTGCTGAGTCTGGGGGTGCTGAGACTGGGCGTGCTGAGCCTGGGGGTGTGGCGCCTGAGGGTACTGTGTCTGGAGGTGCTGAGCCTGCGCGTGCTGAGTCTGGAGGTGCTCTAGGTGTCCCGTCGCGGCGGGAGCCCCTCTCTCCAGAGCGGCTTCGTGAGTGGTACTCTCGGCGCTGTCGGGTTGCAGCTGGAGGTGCTGCTGGTGCAGGAGCTGCTGGAGGTGCTGGCGCTGCTGGAGGTGGTGCTGGTGCTGGAGCTGCTGGAGGTGCTGGTGCTACTGGAGGTGGTGCTGGTGCTAGAGCTGCTCAAGGTGCTGCTGGTGCTGGAGGTGCTACTGGAGCTACTGGAGGTGCTGGCACTGCTGGAGGTGGTGCTGGTGCTGGAGCTGCTGGAGGTGCTGCTGGTGCTGGAGCTGCTGGAGCTGCTGGAGGTGCTGGCGGTGCTGGAGGTGGTGGTGGTGCTGGAGCTACTAGAGGTGCTGCTGGTGCTGGAGCTGCTGGAGGTGCTGCTGGGACTGGAGACCCTGAGGCTGAGGGTACCGGTTCTGTCTCTGCTGTTTCTGGAGGCGCTGTGCGGCCGCGGCCGTACTACGTTCCGCTTCTTCAGCAGGTTCTTGGCTCCCCGCCTTCTCCTGGTCCTCCTCCTCCTTCCCTGAGTCCACCGCCTGTCCCGTCTCAGTCGTAGTTACAGCCGGCCTCTCCGCTGCCTGGTCCTTCTCCTTACTCTGGACCGACTAGAGGTCTTACGGAGCGTCGTGAGCCTGAGTCGCGTCCTGTGTCGCCTGTGTCTCGTTCTACGTCGCCTGTCCGTTCTGTTCGCGCTGGTCGTGTTTCGCGTCCGCGTCTTCCTCCTGTCCCAGGCACTCACTCTATGACACTGCGTCCTTCTACTGCTCCACAGCGTGTCCCTCTGCCCTCTCCTCCTGCGTCCTCTCTTCCTGACGGTCCGGACCCGGAGTCTGACTCCCTTCGTGCTGCTAGTCCTACTGTCACGCGCTT